ATGGAGGGGGGGGGGCGGTATCTACTCTAAGGTTAACAGCTTTATCGGATTAATATTTGTATTGTTTTTCAGCAAGTATAATTAAGTTATAAAACATCATAAAACAGATTAAAGATACACTTCAATAGTTAAATACTTCCTCCTACCAGTATGTACACAAAATATAAAAGAAAGGGATAATTGGAGAATTTAATTCAATACACAGGGTATCCCTTAAGTAGGTAGTATATACATCCTAGGACAGGGGAAAATATCAAACTATCATTAAAAACTAACAAATTATTAAAAACCATCATCTTTACAGTGATCATATATTTTTTAATATGTTTACGTTACCCAATTTAACTTCAATATAGTTGTCAAATTATTGCATGTTGTCCTTTAAAGAAAGATAAAGATTATTGCTTACTTGGTTTTTATTGTATTTTGATTTTTCTCTTTTAGAGCTCAAAACGATAAGTGGATATAGGGGGGCTCCTTCATAAACCATCGAGAGCCTCGCCATCTTCCTTCCTGTCTAATGATAATTTAAAAATTGTAAACAAAAGTATTACAGCATTTCCCCAGCTCCATGTGTTCCGAAGGCCGACGCAAAATACACAGACGGACATCCTCAAAGAATATGTGGTACTTTTAGGCCCGTTTATCTCCCTCCGTTTCCTTTTTATGCAGGATAATGCTCGACCACACATTGACAATATTGTCCTAGATAAGGTTAGTGTCCGTACCTTGGAGTGACCGGTCTTCAGTCCTATAAAGCATCTTCAGAACCATTTTAGGACGTCCATCCGTCGACAACAGAAAACTCTATGTGGCCCCCATGCTCATGAAATAGTTCAGATACAACATCGGGACCTTTTTCGTAGTATGCCTACGATAGTACAGACCGCTATTAAAGAAAAGGGAGGTTTAAAAGAGTGTTTCATTTGCTATAGGATAGTGAATATTTAATTTTAAAAATTATTTTTTTAAAATGAATTTTCATTTTTTTTCATCTATTTCCGGTTTTCTACAAACAGAATATGTCAAACTATTATTATTATTTGACGCGAAACAGCCCTGAAGGACTACGCGACTATGAAACTGGTTTCTTTTTCAATTTCTTCTTTTCTGCCCATCTCTGCTTGAGGATATCGCTAAATTTTCCTCTCCTCCGTCCACTTCCTTCTGGAGGGAAGTTCCTAACTGTCCACCACATGGACCGCACTTTTCAGGAATTTCTTGTATTCTGTCCTATCCTCACATAATTCCCGTATATCCATGATTAAACTTGTATCCCATAACCCTACTAAAAATCTTATTGTTTAACCTCTCCTCGGTCATCCTTTGCATGTGCCCATAAAACCTAAGACTTCTTACCCTCATTTCCGCTTCCAAATCAGAGGTTTCACTGTAAATCTCGTTATTGGATTTCAGTCTGTATCCTTCTGGTGTTATTTTGGGCCCATGGATTGTTCTGAGCATCGTTCTTTCTATTTTCAGCAGTTCTTTCTATTGTCAAACTATATCAAGGTAAAATAATTGTAACTTTTTCTCTGTTGGGAAAGAAATGACGAGAAAATTTAAGGTGCATCGACTTTCATGACCACATAGACCCACACAGAATATATTGGCTGTATACGTGGACGCCCTACAGGGTGAGGGTAGCAAGCTATTGCTAATGCAATCGGAGGTTAAGCCAATCCCTAATGTTAATTATCCTATCATTAAGTGAGGGCTACCACCTCCTGCCAACTGCCTGGCTTTACTCAATCCTGGCGATCCATTATATTCAATTCCATTTAGTCCTGGGTGTTTAACGAGGGAGCATTGGTTATAGATATGTCTTAATAGATTAGTTATTAACAACGTTTTCGAGTATTTTTTCTACCGTTCTCTTCAAATCTTATAATAAATATATTGTAAAAATAAAAATATAATATCGGATGTCCATACTAGAAATTTTATTATATTTTTTATTTATTATTTTCCGATGAATAACTTATAATGCACCAAGTCGAATGCGGTGAGTACATCACACAACTATCTCTTACCACCCAAGTTAGAGTGTTAGGCTACTACGAAGTTTCACGCGAAAACATAAAATGAATGTATAAATTTTAGAGATGTGGAAAACTAATGGAATTATATAAGGCTTCTAATTAACAGAATGACTAACTCCAATTAGTGATATTACTAGTTGAACCATTTATAATATATGTACAGAGATTCAGTAAGTTGATACCAGAGTAGATGATTGCAGTGTTGAAATAAAGAAATATGAATAAAGATATAAATTTGAAAATTTATAAAAAAATAAATTCCCAACAATCCTCTAAGGCATCTGAAAAGAAGATGACCTCGAATCCTTCATGTAGAAAACTATCATAAAATAATAAATATTAGTAATATGGTTTAGAGAACCCAACATGTCTACATACCTCCCTCCATAGTCGTCAAACCCTGCCAGATGAGTCTTAGCACAATCTTCCCACCTTGGCTTCGGTCTACTCCTCGTACGCTTGTCAGTCGGCACAGTTTATATTAACGTTTTAGGAATTCTTTCATTAGTAAGTAATAGCAATTTTACATGCCCATTTTATTCGTCTAAACGTAATCTGAATTATATTAACCGGGCACTGTTCGCGCAATTAAGCGTTGTGTAACCGCCTAAATTCTCCTGTTGACTCATCCTTTTCCGTGGTACAGATTCCTTTTTATCGAATTATTAACATCCGCCTGAAACTTCGTGAATAGTTTCATCTCACCGTAACCTACATCTATTATATTTACGAAAACTCTTGAAATTGGGACGTTTTCAATCTGGAGGGAGGCCAACTTTTTCTATTTAATTAAGTACTAAAAACTCGAAAATATCCATTTGCTTTCTACTTGAATCGTTAGATAATTTGATCACGAAATCAATAAAAAAGGTGGCCTACAAAAATATTGGGCCGTCTTTCCTATATAACCTCATTATTTTGAAAATTTGGGGTGTCACACCAAACGGCTCAATATTTTTTAAGACCACCTTTTTTCTCGATGTTGTAATCAAATTATCCTACGATCCAAGTAGAAAGCAAATGTGTATATACGAGTTTTTAGTGCTTAATTGAATAAACAAAGTTTGCTCCCCTCCAGATTGAAAACGTCCCAATTCCAAGCGTTTTCATAAATAAAATAGTTGTAGATTACGATGAGATAGAAACTATTTACGAAGTTTCTAACTGATGTTAATAATTCGATAAAAATGGGTCTGTACCACGGACTATCCTTTTCTGGTCCGAATATTCTACGCAATATGATATTTTCAAAAATTTTAAAACGTTGCTCATCCCACAATGTAGCTGGCCACATTTCGCATACATAAGGACCGTTTCGCCACTGAAAAACACCACGCGTTTCCCGCCTTCAACTTCCTCTTCAATTTCGGTTTTTCTTGATGTCGCAAATCACAAACCTAAACCATCTAAACTTCTCAAAGAGCTCAAACGTATTTTCAGAGAATTATCATAGAGAAGCTAAATATAAGTTTCATTTCAAGTCATTTTCTCATTAATTAGATTGAATATTTACTTGGTTATTTCTATATGAATATAAATTTTTAAAAACAAAATAACGCCCACGATTTTTTATTCGTACTCTTGTAATACATAGAGAAGTTTGAAAACAAAATGGGCATAGAAATTTCATTAGAGAGTTATCTAGTGGTGGAATCTTTCCAATATTAACAATACTAAAATTAAAAAAATGTAGTAATCATATGTTTTCATATTATTACATATGTGACTAAAGCGATCTCATCGCAATCGCTGCTTAAGTTCCACTAGTTCCAGTGACGCCGTTAAGAGAGCAGCCCAGAGATCTCCTGGAGTCCTGTTTTTCCCACCATAATTGGAGGGACAGGCCTTCTTTGGAGTTCTCTCGTTTGATATTAAATAGTGTATATATAGGCATGTATGTGTTTTTTTTAATTTACTTATTTTAAAGTTATTTTATATATTGTATATACTTTTCGATTGTTATTTATTCGTTATTTGACTACTGTTTATTTCATATATTTATAACTAGTGTGAATGTGGTCTTAACTTAATATAAATACTGTCCAATTGACACAATTTTATATTAATAAAGAAAAAGAAAATATTATTACATTAAACCTTATGTGATAATGTGTTTTTTTAATAAGTTATCTTAGGGTAAGCGCACCTGTGATAGATATTGCTTAGGAAATTTTTGTATTTTTTGGCTCATTCCACCGTAATTATTACAGCTATAAACTTCTTCGTTGGAAATTCAGAATCTCTAAGGTCTCCCTTTTCTATTTAGCACTTTAAAATTGAAAAAAATATTCGGTAATGCAGGTATAATGTCCATTTAAAAAAAAAATAAAAAACAAAAAAACCTTCTTGCACTAGTGAGTGGGTAATAACCACCGAATCCGATTAATAAATCATCTTAGCTGCAAATTTCTGTAACTCAATTTTTCATGCCTCATTATTATTTCTTTTCCATTATTGGAGTAATAACTTTTTTAGTCTCATTATGCACTTTTTTGTTGAGAGTGAATTAGATTGATCCTTCAGATTTCCGAAGCTTTAACGCTCTCGTAAAATCGGCTTCAGTCGATGTTTATAAATATGGATTAAAATATTTTAGGAACTCAAAATCGGACATGCATCCTGTAAGCAAGGAAATTGTTTCAACATTTCAGCCTATCTGTAATGGGCATTTATTCAGGATTTTATCTTAACGTGAGGTCGTGTTAGAGAGACGAAAAGGAAAAAATACTGTCTAAAACCAAACGATAACGAGTTTTATGGAAGATATGCGTTAAAATATTTCAGAAACCAAAAATTGGACCGACATACTGTAAGCGAGGGAAAGGTTCAGTATTTTATCCTCTTTATAATGTGATATTACTTATAATTTATATTTTATATTATTAATTAATTATTAATTTACTCTCATTGTCATTGTATCTTAGAATTGTAATCTATAAGTCCATTGTCTTTCTTCAGCTTTTGCCCTGACCCGTGTTGTCCGATCAAAGAAATATCTAGCTTCAAAGATTGCGACAAGGACAGAAGCAACCCCTGTCCAGTGGACATTCACAACAGAACTTGTGTTCTCGAAGTGCAAAAGAACTTTAACTTGCAGTCCATGGCGAAGAACCATTGGAACCTCACCTGCCACTGCAAAGAGAAGGGTACGAGGTGGGAATCCAGGTCAGTTCGTTAAACATACTTAGTACCGTGTGTGTGTGTTTTTTTTTTTTTTTGTGTGAAGGCGATAGCGATAGTATTGTATTTTATGTATATGCATACATAATAGTATGTATTTAAATGTATTAAAAATGGTGTGAACGGCAGAATGAATCATAAATTCCTAGGAAATGATAATAATATGTGGCTTCTTTGGATGCAATCAAGAAGGCATCAAGAGACTCTCTAAAACTCTCATATGAGAAACAGAGTGAATCAGACTATAAGTAAATGAATATAAAACAAAATATATAATCGGAAGACTAAAATTCCACCCTAATAGAAAATACTGTTTCCAACAGTAGGCAAATTCAAATAAATCTGACAAAAAAAGTCAGGAAATGTAGTCATTAATCATGTTAATTAAGTTTGCTGATGTTTCGACCCAGGTTAGTCATCATCAGAGCTAAAAATTAAAAAAATACAAAATTAAATCATAAAATAAGAAGAAATATGACACATGCATTAATTAAATGAATTAAAGCTGAATGCAGATAAAACCAAGGCTATTATCATCAGGTCCAGACATCTCATCAGCTCCCTTCCTTACTTTTCTCTACTTTACCTCAATAACCGTCCCATCCATTTTTTCCCTACAGTCAGAAACCTAGGAGTAACCTTTGACCAGATCCTCTCCTGGGATAATCATATCTCCCAGATTACCCGAAAATCTATAACTGCCCTTAAACAAATCCTAAGATTCCGTGATTGTATTCCTCTAAAAACCAGACAGCTCCTTGTAACCTTCCTTGTATTCCCCCACTTTGACTACGGCTGCTTGGTGTATGGAGGGCTATCTGCCAGGCTGGAAATGAGACTAAAAAGACTCATGAATTGTTTCATAAGATTCATTTTCGGGATCCCCAGGAGTTCACATGTTTCACTATGGTACACCGAAGTGGCTTTATCCTACTTCCCGACGACAATTCTTTCTTGGCGTTTTCCTTTTCTAAGTCTTCAGAACTAAAAACCCTCCCTACATCCTGGAACTCCTTACTCTGCGCTCCTCTATCCACTCTCTCAATACTAGGTCTCAACCTATAGATTTATATATTCCCTCCCATAAAACTTCTTCCTTCAGCAAATCCTTCATCATTCGTGCTGCTTCCTTATGGAACTCACTTCCTTCCCCCATGCGTCAATCCTCATCCACAAATTCCTTCAAACAACTCCTGTTCCAACACCTACTCCACATTCAAACCTAACATGTAAAATTACTTGCATCTATACAATGTTTAATTTCAATCCATAGCACAATTGAAATAACAATTAACAATAAATTAGTTGGTATTTTTATTATGTCAGACTAAGATACATAAATTTGTAACTCTGTTATTATTCTTAGGGGACAGTAGTCCCAGAATAAAATTATTTTTTCATTTCATTTCATTTCATACACGTGATATAACAGTCTGTGTTACAGACCCATTTTTATCAAATTATTAACATCCGCCTGAAACTTCGTAAATGGCTTCAATTCATTGTGGCCTACAACTATTTTCTTTACGAAAACTCTTGGAATTGGAGGGTTTTCAATCAGGAGATCGACAAAGGCTGTCTATTTAATTAGGTAATAAAAACTATTAAATATCCATTTGCTTTCCACTTGGATCGTAAGATATTTGATCACAAAATCAAGAAAAAAGGTGTCCTAAGAAAATATAGTGCCATTTGGTCTAAATAACCTCGTTATTTCGACATGTTGGGGCTGTATGTTACGCCAAACTGTCCAATATATTTGAAGGCTACCTTTTTTCTCAAATCAAATTATCTTACGATTCAAATGGAAAGCAAATATGCATTTATGAGTTTTTAGTACCAAATTAAATAGAAAAAGTTTGTGGAATTGAAATTTGAAAGTTTTCGTAAATAAAGTAGTTGTAGGTTAAGATAAGATGAAGCTATTTACAAAGTTTCAGCCGGATGCTAATAATTTGATAAAAAAGCGTATGTACAAATTAACATTAATAAAATCATAACAATACCCTGAGAAAATGCTTTTGTGTTATAAATTAATAAGATAGATGAGAATAAAAAAAAGTGAAAATAAATTATATAAGGTATTTTCAAAATTTCCATTTATTTAGGTCATTACAACCTTTCAAGCCAATTGGCTTTTTAACTATTTTAAGATTTAGCCCATTTTCGGTTATCCAATTTGGACGAAAAAGTTTCTGTGAAACCCCAGAGATATACAAACCTTAAATATGCAATTTCACTTTCGTAAGACATTTCGTTTTTGAGCTGTTAACACAAAAATACACACACACACGCGTTGGTGTGTATATTTCCGTTGAAAATTGGGATTCGAAAATTTTCAAAATCTCAAAACTTTCTTTTATTTTATATTTCACATACAGGTGAGTGGAAGTAACAATTTTTTTTCTTATCACTTTATTTCTATTTAATAAAATGTATGTCAATTCATAAGCCCGAGGCTAGATAGTCCCTCCTCTTCTATTGCTTAAAAGTTGCTTATTCTGTAAAAGTAACTAAATATGTAAATAAATAAATTGACCAAATAGTTTGTTAAAATGAAGTAACGTATAAAATATGTTGTATTATTCCTATGTTTATATTACTGTTACCACATATCTTCGTGTCATCTTTCTTCTTATTTTATTTACATAGTTTATAATTATAATTTTTCTAATGTACTTTTTTGTTTTTTTTATCTATTTATGATATTTATTCAAAAAAATAAATCCAGTAAATGTGCACACAAGAATATAATAACATGAAATCACTTGTTAAGAAACCACCCACTGGTATTACTCAAATAATAAATTTACACAAAATCTTGTTTTCACACAAGGACACCTTCTTTTCAGACGACTTAGAGGGTTATCAGTGATCGAGGAAGAAGCAAGGTTTGTAACGAGAAGGTTTGGATGGTTCTAAAGTTTGTTATGGAAGAATAGTATCTGTATTAGGCCAAATCGGAAACATATGGAAAATTAAGATCGTTATGGATGATTTTATTTGCGACAAAGTAAGGAGCGTTGAGAATTTGTTAAGTATTTTAGCCCTGAGTGTGACCCACATACTTGGGTCAATACGTAAGCAAAAAATAAACATGATTATTGGCTACATGTTCTAACTAATTTACATCCTTTAAAAAATGTATTTATAATATATATTGTTATATTCTAATTATATCTTCTTCATCAGAATACATTAGCAAAATTTACTGTAATAATAATACAGTTGTATGATAAATTAATTTTTCTGTTTTATTTAACAACCATTTGCTTGTGCCATTGTAATTCGATTAATTACATCAGTACTTGGAATTCTCGAATCTCTTCAATAGAAAAAAAAATCAGTATTGGAATTCAATAATTACTTCAACGAAATCCAATATCTAATTAATTCGAGTTTTCATTTCTAAAAATAATTGTACCAATTTCGAAAGACTTGACCCCAGTTTTAATTTGATGGTAGCAATGATGTAATTGGAATATCTACGATTCAGTTAAATTAAAAATGACTAACTCCGCTGGGACGATGGTCTTTGAAGAGGCCATTACATCCCTTCATGTTAATATTGAGAAAAAAAAATTGTATATGTGTATATATATATATATATATATATATATATATATATATATATATATATATATATATATATATATATATATATATATTTGTGTGTGTGTGTGTATGTGTGACTTTTCGATTTAACCACTCATTTTCATAGCTATTTGAATCTATTAAACATATAAACGCATTATATAAGAGACATTTATTTCCAAACTAAACCCTAATCGATTATATGGAAATTAAGATAAGTATCAATTCCCATAGAGAATGACCCAATGAATCTGAAACTGGCATTTTTTTTTTCATTACCGATCGAAACTATTGAACAAACTGGTGTGGAAATAATTTTTTGTTCTTAAACAGACCATTGTTTCAAGTAATACAATCAAACATAGATTTCTTAAGTATTGTTTTAATTATTCATCAAAATTTTATTTTTTTTTAAATTGAAATAAAAATTTTATAATTTTTTTATAAAACGTTAATATAATAAACTTTTTTATAAGTCTTTAATAAATTTTTTAAAGACTTTCAAGTTTTTTTAAATTCATACTGAAATATTCAGTGTTTTTCTGAAATTCGTTCTACGAATAAAGAATTTTTATTTCATTCTTTTAAATTTCTTCATTCTTTAATTGAATCAATATTACAATTAGTAAAGAATATTTTTTTTCTTGTTTCTTGAAAATTGTTAACACTGAGCAAGGTTCACTTTGGAAGTATATGACTCATATAATAAGACTTTCAATAGCATTACTTACATATAAATTCGAATTCAAATATTTGTAATACTTTAATATATTTTACTTTGATCAAGGTACCTATATTTAATATGAATATATAATTTTATAAGAAAATTAAATAATCTTATACCTTATTAAGCTTAATAAAAATTAGTAGTGTGGTATTTTTCATAAGAACTATGTAAATTAAAAATTCCTAATGCAATTAATGAAAAAAACAATAAAAATGACTCAATTACTTCATTCATTGTAAAAACAAGTCAAAATTTAATTCAAACTAAAGTGGAGTTGGTGTCTTTGGTAAAATCGTTCAGAGGATTTTGAGCGACTAAAATAGATTCTGTTTTAAAAAAGAATTCATGAATTATTCTGTTTTTTTTTTTTATCACGTCCAACTAGACTACAGCTACCTCACTTTTAGAAAAAAATCCTTGTTTAATAATATTTATGTTCATATTAATTAAGTTTATTACGAAATAAGTTCAGTTGTTTAAAAATAGATTAGATATCCTATCATCTAAAAGTACGCCGATTTTCAGCAAAAATGTCTACAATAAATTGCAAAGCTTTAATTTCTTATTTTTTTCTATGACCGGAGATGTATTTAATAAACATAATTGCATAAACAAATTTTTATTGTATATTTTATTAATATTTTAAAGTAAAATAAATAATTAA